TGATCTTATGACTTGAGTTGGAGCTTTTACCTATTTTATCGTAATAGGATGGTTGAGAATCCCTTATCCTGAAGTTGCAAGGTTCCTATGCTGGGGTGTCTGACATGTTTCTCTCGTGCACCTTGCAGCCGTTTTATTTGGGGTGTTTGGGACGTGTACTTTGACTGGAGAAATTGCTATATAAGATTCTCTGGGTAAATGACACATTTGGTCACTGAGATTACTAAATCATGTCATATTTGGTCACCAGAAAAATGTAATATCAATTTTGGTCACTCGAATTACTGACACAGGTCACATTTGGTCACTCTTCTATAGCCTCTGTCCAACTCCGGTCACTCGAATTATTGAAAAATGTCACATTTAGTCACTCGGATTACTGAAACATGTCACATTTAGTCACTCTCCCAAAAGTTCCTGTCGAACTACATTAATGGAGTTGGACAGAAACTGACGGGAGAGTGACTAAATTGATATTAATTTTTTCTAGTGACTATACATGACACAATTTAGTAATCTCAGTGACCAAATGTGTCATTTACCCAAGATTCTCTTGTTTGTTGTGATGTTATTTGCGAATTGCGACTACAAGCTGACTTTTGAGTTTTGACCATACACTTCTGTCATCCTCGTTTTCTTTGAAACTCATTGCCTTAGTGAAGCACTGAGTTGTATCAATGAAGATGCAAAGCTAAGTAGAGTTGAGAGGGGTTTGCTAGGTCTTTGTCCGAATGCGGCTCCCCGGAAGGGGTCTAGCATGTCCATCTATTGGAGAGTTTTTCTTTTCTTCTTATTACTAGTCGGTTCACGGAGAGAGGGACGGGGATGGTGCCATTTTTGGCCCAGGATCGCCTTTACATTTTTATAGACAATGAAATCTTCCCCAAATATTGCATTGCTTTCTTCTTTTCATATCCTTTCTTCCTTACTGGTTCCTGTTTTGAGGATTAAGCAAAGGATTTGTTGATTTTTCTTGTTTCCATCTATTTTCAGCTAGATTATTCCGTTCCTTTAGGGCTACTCACAAGTTATCCCTAGCAGACTCATGAGATGTTTGTGATACTTACTCTGGATATTTATTAATGACTTTGATCAATGGTTGTGCAGAGAACGGAGCTTTATGAATATTCTAAGGTGCTAGGTAACTCCCAGTTCATCTTGCAGCCGTTTCAGCCATATAAGCTTGTTTATGCATACATGCTGGCTGAAGTAGGCAGAGTCTCGGACTCTTTGAAGTAAGTGGGTAAAAATATCTGTCAAGTATCTTCCATTTCTCATTCTCCAATTCTCCTAATGTTGAGAGCTGATTCAGGTACTGTCAAGCAGTATCCAAATCTCTGAAAACGGGTCGAGCTCCTGAAATAGAGACTTGGAAACAATTATTGTCGTCCCTTGAAGAAAGGATTAGAATCCACCAACAGGTATGTGATTTTGGACCAAATGTCACTTCGTCTTCCTCCTCCAACCGTATTTAACCAATTGATTTCTCTACAGGGTGGATATGCTACAAACTTGGCACCAGCAAAGCTAGTCGGTAAACTGCTCAACTTCTTTGATAGCACCGCACACCGTGTTGTTGGTGGTCTGCCGCCACCAGCACCATCGACTTCCCATGGTCTACATAGCCATGAGTATGATCAGCAACTGATGGCACCTCGAGTCGCTGCTAGTCAATCAACGATGGCTATGTCTACATTAGCACCGTCTGCTTCAATGGAACCCATAAGCGAATGGGCAGCTGATGGCAATAAAATGGGAAGACACTCAAGGAGTGTATCGGAGCCCGACTTCGGAAGAACTCCAAGACAGGTTTGTGATTGATCTCCAAGTTGGCGAATGTTTGATTTCTCGGTTGATGATGTTTCTGTCTCTTTCCTCTGTTCTTACCGCATCAAAACTGCTATTTCTTTATTGCTAGGGCCAGGCTGATTCATCAACAGCCGGATCCCCATCCAGTTCTCAAGATAAGACATCTAGTTCAACAGGAGGATTGCGCTTGGGTCGTTTTGCTTTTGGCTCGCAACTACTGCAGAAGACTGTGGGTCTAGTGTTACGGCCCCGCTCAGATAAACAGGTAACTTGAGCTTTATGTTTCACTTGAAAGTAGAAACGCAGTTACTCAAGATTCAAGTTTCTGACGTTATCTTATGTTGGTTAAGTTGAATTATATTTTACTTGGAAGTAGAAACGCAATTCCTCGAGATTCAAGTCTCTGAAAAAATTTATCTTATCTTGGTCATCGGTGAAGGCCAAGTTAGGTGAGAAGAACAAATTCTATTACGATGAAAAACTCAAGAGATGGGTGGAAGAAGGTGTAGAACCTCCAGCTGAGGAAGCTGCCCTACCACCTCCACCAACTACTGCAGTGTTTCAGAATGGAGCGTCGGATTACAACCTGAAATCTGCACTGAAGAACGAGGGCTCCCCACCTAGTGGGAGTCCAAAATTCCGGAGTTCAGCTACGCAAGAGCATAGTTCAGGCATCCCTCCTATTCCCACGAGCTCTAATCAATTTTCAGCCCGTGGAAGAATGGGCGTACGTGCGAGGTAAAGTTGGATGAAGACCATTTTGATCTTGTTTATCTTTTCATTTTTGCACCTTCAATTTCAATTCCAAAATAACTGCTGAGCATATTTATCCGGCTTGGACAGGTATGTGGACACCTTCAACCAAGGTGGAGGAGGCGCAGTAACAAACTTGTTCCACTCATCACCCATACCATCTCCCAAACCTGCTGTCTCCATGAACACCAAGTTCTTTGTTCCTGCACCTGCACCTTCGTCTGCTGATAATTTGTTGGCAGAAGCTGTGGCTGCAGAAAATGTGCAAAACAACGCTCCAGCAGCGGCGAGTGAAATGCCTTCAACATCCTCCATGACTGATTCTTTTCAGTCTCCTCCCACAGCTTCTTCGCCACCTTTCCAGCCTCGTATAACATCTTCCTCCATGCAAAGATTCCCGAGCATGGACAACATTGTCAAAGGAGGGAAAGTTGGCGGCTTAAATGTCAACAGTGGTGTGCCCCACTCTCAATCTCGACGAACTGCATCTTGGAGCGGTACTTTCAGCCCATCGTTCAGCCCGCCAAGGCCAACAACAGAGATCAAATCGTCTCTTGGCATGCCACTGACGGCAGGCCCGCCTTTGATGCCAGGTGGCGACCCTTCGATGACTCAGATGCCAACAAATGGTGGCAGCTTTGGTGATCTCCAGGAAGTTGAACTTTGAGTCACAAAGGCATCAGCTGGGAGGTTCATAACACACAGCAAGTTTTGTTTATCGCGATCAGACCGTAAGGGGAGTACTGCAAAGGCTTTTGGGAAAGAGCACAAAAACGGGTAGGAGGAGAAGAAGCATATCAAAGTCTGGTTTTTGACAAATTCCGCCTGATCTTCTCTCTTCCCCCTTTCCTAATGTTAACCTTGAAGCTCAGTTGGGCACTAAGCATTCCAATTTTTGTAATCTTAAAAGCATATATAGCTTTTTTGTTTTTCTGTTTCTCGAATGTGCGACGAAGACTGATGAAGAAGCTTTGGGTAGGGTTTGGTGGCAGGCTGCAGAGTCTGTTATAACCCTTGTGGGAGAAGAAGAGGGGAGGGATGGAAGTAAGATGTACAGTTTGATTTGTTGATTTGTTGAAACAACAGGGGGAGACCAAAAAAGGAAAATTAAGGATAGGTAGAACAAGTCTCATCCTGAAAGATCCTTCTCAACGAGAGAAAGTAAAGGGTGGGGTAAAATGGAATTGGTGTACTTATTTCTCACAATAAAATTAAAAAGCCTTTGTTTCTGCTATTTTTTCAATATACTTATTCCTATCTTTTCCTGCATTATATAGTTCAGAATTTTGTAGTTTTGCCCATCCAACGTCTGTTGCGAATGCCAATTTTCTTAGTGATGTAGCGAAAGGCAGATAGCAAATTCGACCCGATTTATATTGATTGTTTTCAATATTAGGATGCATATCCAACCCTCCTAAATCCTAATCCATTTTCCACTAGTATTACCCACCTTAAAACTATGCTCAATCCAAAACAAGCATAAATATTAAAATATCCATCGGATTGTTGTCACTTAGGTAGCTTTTTATTTGAATCCTTCTCTTTTACTCTCAAGCAAGGTTGTCAACCCGCGGGCTGATTCGGACCTGATCGAGCTAGTGAGCCAAGGATTAATGGGTCACCCGTTTTAGCCCGGAAATATGAAAAGAGTCATTATATTGTACTTGTCCTGATAAATTATATCAAATCTTATCTAACATATGAGTTATAACATATAATGTTCCACCAAAATAGCATGTCGTACTTAGACCCAACATATAGTGAAAATTCACACACACTTTTATGACATCAATATTCAAATGTTCAATTTAGGATTCAAAGGATTGAGTTAGGCGAAAAGAAAAATCGAAAAATAGGCGCATTCCGCAAACCAAAGAAAAAATGACACAATTTGAACTCCAACCCGGTACCTTGTAGCGGTCGACCCGGCGGGTGCGTGCGGCCCGTTTTTCTTACTGTGTCAGGGTCAAATTGGATCGACCCGCGGGGTTGACAACCTTGCTCTCAAGATAATATTTCAAAATAGAATACTACACACTCTCAATAAATGGGACACTTTTTTTTTAATATAATCAAAACTGGGCAAAATTCCCAAAACAAAGTTAAAAAACATAACTAAGCCATATGCGATAGTCAACTAATCATCGAACTCCCGATCCGATGAAAGAGTGTTTTTGTCATTGAAAACTTTGCCCATATTGTTTCTCATAATCTCATTTACATCTAATGTTATGTTGACCATAGCAAGCATGCTTACAGGAAGTGGCCAGTTAAATTATTGCACTAGACAAATAATTGTGTTAGAATTAAATGGGTAAATGCCATATTTGGTCATTGAGATTACTAAATTATATCATGTTTAGTCACTATAAAAAATTAATATAAATTTTGGTCACTCGAATTACTGAAATATATCAAATTTAGTCACTCTCCCGTTAGTTTTCGTCCAACTCCATTAACGGAGTTGAACGGAGGCTAACGGAGAGTGACTAAATGTGACATGTTTCAGTAATTCGAGTGACATTCATAAAAAAAAAAGTAATTCGTGATCGGGGTTGGACGAAGACTAACGGGAGAGTGACTAAATATGACCTGTTTTAGTAATTCCAGTGACCAAAATTAATATTAATTTTCTCTAGTGACTAAACATAACATGATTTAGTAATATCAATGACCGTGGCATTTACCCTAGAAAAATACAGCAAAAAAATGCTAAAAGGACAATGGTAATATAGACGAAGCAGCACAAGAAGAGTCTTTTGATTTGGATCCCATGGCAGCAAGGAACAGAGCCAAACTCTAATTGAAATCAAAACTCTGCCGAGCCAGGAGATCGAGGGAATGGTATTGTGTCTCTGATATTCTCTAATCCAGTTGCAAACTGCACCAGCCTCTCGAATCCCACCCCAAACCCGGCATGAGGAACTGAAACCATAACAGGAAAGCAAAGAACCGGTTTGCAACCCATCAGAACAATCAATACCCTCTATAAGTACACTGCAATTAAGAACATCAGCAGCAGCAAACCTGAACCATAACGCCGCAAATCGAGGTACCACCAGTAGCTCTCCTTGTTGAGCTTTAACTCCTCTAAACGATATTCTAGATATCCGAGCCGTTCTTCTCTTTGGCTTCCACCAACCAGCTCCCCGATCTGACCAATATGAAAAAAGAACCCTAAACTTCTGTATGTAAATAACTTATAGTTCAATGTTTGAAAGAGTGCCCTTGAAGGCACAGGAAAAAGAAGGGTCCTTTTTCATCAAACATGGTGCAAGGAGAAGAAGTGGGTTTAGGGTACGTGATTAAGTAATGATTTTTTTACCCGAGGAACCAACAAATCCATGGCAGCAACCGTTTTTCCATCATCATTTTGACGCATATAAAATGCCTTGATCTCCTGGAAGAAGTAAACAAAATTCGTGTAAACCCAAATAACGATTTTTCTTCGTTCATGAGGCAGAGGGGAAGACCTGGAAAGCTAAACCACGAACCTTTGGGTAGTCTCTAATAATGACAGGGCATCCGCCAAATGCTTCTTCAGTTATGTATCGCTCATGCTCACTCTGCAAATCGCATCCCCATGCCACCTACAAACCACACCAACAAACCATTCTAACTCCAATTTCATAACCGGGACTTTATCAGATTAACTCAGCGGAGGAACATAAAATGTACCGGAAATTCAAACTTCTTATTTGTTTTAAGAAGAAGTTCAACTGCATCAGTGTATGTCAACTGCACAAATTCCTTTTCAGCCACATCCTGTAGATCAAGCATAAATTTGAAGTCATATTTACAAGAAGGTTAAAAGAATATAACTTGCACTTGAGAACTCATACTGTTAAACGATCAATGATCCCCTTCTCGATCCAAGTATTAAAAAATTCCATGTCTTCCTTGCAATTTTCAAGGATATGTCTGACCTGCCACATAATACAGAAGGCATCCATTGATTGCTCAAAGCAGGGTATATGCATTTTACATTTTCATGCCACCAATGAAGATTTGGAAAAGGGGACATACTACATACTGGAGATAGGCAGTTGCACAAGCCATGTCATCATTAAGATCCGCAAATGCAAGTTCTGGTTCAATCATCTTAATCAGAAAAAAATAGAATGAGGTTATGGGAGGCTCTTACACAAATATTAAGATTATATTAAAAAGAGATGACAAAAATGGCTTTACCCAAAACTCTGCCAGGTGTCTCGAAGTGTTGGAGTTCTCGGCACGAAATGTTGGGCCAAATGTATACACCTGGGAGAGTGTAAGAGCATACAATGAGAAACAGAGAACTGATTAAGGTGGCAAGAAGAATGGTATAATCCAGTAACAAAAACATGTTAAGAGAGAATGTACATCTGAAAGAGCAGTAGCGTATGTTTCAGCATTGAGCTGGCCAGACACTGTCAAAAATGCTGGTTTTCCAAAAAAGTCCTGAAAAAGAATGATAGTCATTACAGCGGATGCATAATAGCATTCATTGGACGAAGATGAACGGTGGATTGAAAAAAAAAACATCTTTAGCTAGCTATTGGGCAAGTGGAGATGAGAATATTCAGGTAATGAGGCTGTACCATCAGGAACGTTTATAGAAACTCACTTGTGACCAATCAATCAGTCCATCCTTTGTCTTTGGAATGCCATCTACAGGTGAATCAGTCACTTCTTGAGAGCTTGGAATCTGTGCATGAACACAAGTTTACAACAACTATATAAACAAGCAAAATGAACAATTATAAATGATGGCATATTTGAGAAAGAGGAGCATACCAATGTAGTAACACAGAATTGTTCACCAGCTCCTTCACAATCTGAGGCTGTGATAATAGGACTTGAGACCCAAACAAACCCATTTTCTTGAAAAAATTTGTGGGTAGCATAAGCCAAAGCATTCCTCACCCTGGCAACCTAGCAAAGATCCACCATACCAAAAATCGTAAACCATCATTCCGGGACTTGGATAAGCAAAAATCAAGTGTAAAGAGGACTTTATACTCCCAACCGGAAGTCATTCTCACTTTGGGTGATAGTTTACAACAGTGGAGTTGAAAAACTGAGTTTCTCGATATAGTGGATCGTAGTTAAGCAGAATAAACATACCGCACTGAATGTATTTGTTCTAGGACGAAGATGTGCTTTCGTTCTCAGGAACTCTCTGGTGGCTCTTTTCTTCTGCATTGGATATGATGGATCACTCTGGCCAACCTATCAAATGAACAATGTGAGTGTATCAGTAGAAAGCAGTAGTGTATTACTAAACACGGTAAACTGATTCGGCAATCAAGTCATATAGTAGCATACCAGAACAATCTTGTTGACCTTCAATTCCACTTTTTGCTTCGACCCCTGGCTCTCAACTATAGTTCCTTGTACACAAACTGAAGCACCGGTAACTATGGAACCAGAGTCTACCTGAGCATTAAGAAAACAACGGGGAACCAAGATTACATGTAACTGAAACCGCAGACTGCATATACCAGAGCAAAACACTCAGAAATTCCGATCAAACCGTGGCTACTAGCTTGAACATTTGCTAATTCTAAGAATCGTAATTCACAGTTCCAACTTATTACCTGATCATAGCCTTCAGCTTCTGGGTTTAGTACGCATTGCATGTTTGACAGGCAAGAACCATCGTTAACCTAGAAACAAAACTTCAGTTCTCTATCACTGAATTTCTTCAAAAAGCCATTACCTATATGTCAAAGCCCAAACCTTTACCTCCATGAATGTGACGCTGCTCTGTAACCGAAGTGTCCTGACCCACCCCATTACAACCACAGTCTGACCAACCCGGTCCAAACCTTCATTAGGGCCGCCTTTCACATCGGCAATCTTCAACTTCTTCCTGAACTTCCCAACTCTGTTCCCTAATCCTCCTGCCGGCTGCTCCGCAGCATCGGCGGCGGTCACCATCTCCCCAGACTGCTTAAGGGCAGCCGAAACCACACTGCAGAAGCGCCTCTTACCAAATTCCTCGCCGGAGAACGGGACCGAAGCGCCATGGAATTGGAATTTTGGCGGGAGAACATGGGGCTTCGGGGGCACCAGAAGGAACCTAGAACTTGCTTTCAAGAAACGTAGGGTTGAGTGAGAGCTAAACCGGAGAGTGATGGTGGCCGGAGCAAAGGCGGCGGCGGCGGCCATTACTGGGATGTGGTTATAGCCACTGGACGCGTGGCTCGCCGGGATTAGGATTTTTGGAGGGGATTATCATTATAGAACCAAAGAACAGAATCGGTAATAGAAAGCAATATTTACTACTGGAATGCCCAAATTATTCTTTGTTTTTTATTTAGTCCCCGAAATTATTTTCATTCCCAAAATGGCCCTAATAAGTAACAATATTTTTTGAGCTTCTGTAGATCTGGGGACTCACGACAATGTCCTAAGCAGCAATATTTATTGTGTTTGACAATGGAAATTAAACAAAGATCTACTAAATCCAATCCACCACAAGTACAGAATTATCACCCTCTTCTGAATTTGAGCTTACAATGAAACTTAATTTTTTCCATTTACTTGATATGAAGACTGAATAGCTTGCGTTTTAGAGGTTGAGGCTGTAAATTTATACACATTTCGACATACTTTGAGGTGAGTTGAACTGATTGCTCCAAACAGTTAAAATATGTGCTTTTGGGGGCTTCCACTTTCAACTTTCATATCGCCTTCAGATTCTTATTAGCATCACAAACACTTATATTAACATAAGTAGGGATGACAATTTTGACCTGACCCGTTTTACCCGACCTGTTTTGGGGCGGGTCCGACCCGCCCCGTAGGCGGGGCGGGGCGGGCATGGGTAGTCTCATCGACCCGACCTGCCCTGACCCGCCCCATTCTCGACCCGTTCTTGTCTATTTTACATGTAATCTTAGTCAAATTACTTTGAATTTTCCTTTAATTGTATCATATTTTAGCTATAATAAAGTTGTAAATTAGTGAAAACCTCAATTTCTCCAATAATTTATCTACAATTGTCATAATATTGTTTTTTTTCTTAGTCTTATAATAAAAATAACGAATATTTCTAATGTTTTTCATATAAATTGCATACCCATTGGGTCGACCTGCCCCGACCCGCGACCCGTGATCAATTACCCGACTTGGACCCGCCTTACCACGGGGCGGGTCTGGGTACCTAGAAACCTGCCCCGGACCTGCCCCATTGCCATTCCTAAACATAAACCTCATACTAATTAACTATGAAACTCAATACGATCATGCTATTGTGTTTTTAGTTCCCTCGACGTAGCCGCGGGTATTGATTCTGGTGAATACTAATAACAACAACAAAAGAGATCTCAAGCAGTTGCAAGTTGCACAGAATATTATTGTACAACGAAAGTACATGATTCTTTTAGCATGCTGCATATCACTCTATTGTGAGCCGATGCAATTTATAGACAAACACTCAAGGAGAACATCATTTTAAGTTTGTTTTTCTCAAAGAATGATGGCTGTAAAGTACATACAAACAAAATCAAACCGATCAAGCAAGCTATATAGTTTATATCCCCTTCCACATTTTTGCTCAAGACAGCAGCAATACATGCATGATGCTACTTTGCTTCGTCAAGCAGTAGTCAGCTTTTGGCGAACCTGGATTATTTGGCCTCGCACACTGCACTCCTCCATCTGATTAGAAGCAATAAATTTCATGTCACAAAACTGGCAAGAGGATGATAAACCAAAGTAATTTACTTGCCAAGACGTCAACTAGTATAGAGTATTAGAGTTCAGAGAAAAGCCATTGATATTGAAGGCAGGTCATAGTAGCGGTGAATGATTGCAGTCCAGAGAAGCAAACCTGTGATTTATGCATCAGAGACAAGAGATCTCCACATTCTTGAACGTGAGCTATCTCTCCTCCACTCACCCTAGCTAATTCTGATACCAGTGTTTCAGTTTCTGCAGCCTGCATTGCCAAATCCGAAGCAATGATATAGATGGCGGCTATATAATTAGATGACAGACTACTCCAGAAAAGGACTCCATATACAAACTGTCACCCACCTCGGGCAGAAATCTTTCTATGTGCGAAGCAATTGATTCCATCAACTTCCCTGAAGACTTCAATACCTCTGCCAACTCTCTTGCATCGACCTGCAGCAGATAATTTCCTCAACTTGCTGCTGAAAAATTAACCAGTTTCTTGCTTTACTTAACATGAATACGAGGTTGAGAAATGTTGCAAAAAAGCAACGTCGTACCTTGACATTCCCAACGACGGGAAGCTGGATTGAGGCGTTTACTAAAGCTTGAGCCGTCTCCGACAAAGAGACCTTACAATCTGCTTCTATTGTTGTCCATTCATCCAGATATGGCATCTATGGAGAAGATAGTGGTGATGATTAGAAACAACGACTCATTCTTAGTGAAAACCTACTAGGATGTAAAAACAACGACACCAACACCCTTTACATCACTGTTCTAGTTTCGTCATAGTGAAGAAATCTGAGATATGTATGGTGAGCTAAATTAAGCCAAGACAGATAATGCACAGCTAGAATAAGATGAGTCCAGCAAATCACAATTCAGTTTCAGTGAGACTTACCTGAGTCTCCAGGACTGTGGATAGAGCTGCCATTCGCTGCAAACGGGCAAGCTCAATTCTTTTCTTTGTCACCGACTTGTATAACCCGGATATCTTGCAACCAAGGGAATACAACTTCATCTGAAAAAGGGGAAAAAAATTGGCATTGGTAAAACAAGGGTGAGTATCACACAAAATGACATGGTGAAAGCTGATTTGGTTCTCAATCAAAGCTAACAGTTGACCTCGGCTTCTCTACTCTGGGCTTGCGAGGAAGCCTCGGCTTTGGCATTGGCGTACCTCCACTGCAAGTAACGGTTGTGAATCATTCTCATAGCGTGAAAGCCCTCTTGCTGACCAGAGGCTTTCCTTCCCTTTCTCGAAGCATTAGCATCGCTTAGGTCCTTAGCGTGAGGAACTGGAGGCAGAGCAAAACCCCCAATCTTGGCTGATTTCTCGGAGCCTCTTAGCGAGTGAAAGAATGAAGGGTTTTCAGAGGACGATCGTTGTAAATCGAGAGAGAGGGAACAAGGCGAAGCAGGGAATTTCCAAGAAGATGATGTTGTTGTACTCGCGGCGGCGTCGTCGTCATCATCCGGCCCGGAGAGAGTGTTTATGTTTCTCTCCGTCAGTATTCTACGGGAGACGGTGGCCCGCGAAGAGCGAAGGTCCGGAAGAGACTCGGTTGGGCCGGAATTGGGATTGGCTGAGAGATTGACCGACAACGACGATGACATGCCGGTGGAGGACTGAAGCAATTTGGCGGCAGCTGAGTGAGTAACGGCGTTGCAGGGACGATGATGCGGCAAGCGTCTCGATGTGGGGGGAGGAGCGGTTGCCATGGGAGTGTCGGGGCGGTGGTGGTGAGATCGCGGATCCTGCCTCTCGCCGTTTGCGTTTTCCTTGAAAAGTTTGACGGCGGCGGCGGCGACTGTTGGAGAAGCGGAGTTGCCAGCGGAGGAATCCTTATCCAATTCGAGACGGCGGCGTTGCTGGTGTACGGATGTGGATCTCTGGTGCTGCTGCTGCGGGAGAGGGGAGAAGGAAGTGGAGGAGGTCGGCGCGGGAGTCATGAACCTAGAGTTGACCTCCCTCACTCTCGGTCTCCGTTGAGGCGGCGGAGCTTCGACGGCGCTGCTGTGGTCTTCTCCCATTCTTCAATCGATTCGGTGAGAGGAATCGGTGGCTTGTTCGTTAACTAGCCTGCGGGAATCACCAGCGCGAGAAAGTAGCCGTTGTGTTTAGGGAGAATCCGAAAGTGTTGCATGAAATTTTTTTTTTTTCTTCCTTTTTTTGGTTCGAGTACGTTTATATCTTTTAATTTTCTGATTTACGAATAAAGTACAACGGTAACTTTGAATTTGATTTCCTCACACTGCAGAAAACAAAGCAGAGCGTCAAACAGCCGGGTAAAAGGCAACATGAGTTGGAATGGGCAAGAAGTTTTGCCTTCTTGCATTTGGAAACCCAGATTGTTTGATTAATTAGATCCTAGCACTTTTCTGTAAACTTACTCTTCAAACTCGTATGATTGATCTAGTGATATTGCCAGTAATATTTAATTTGAAGATTCCAGATTCAAATTCATTCAATACAATAGTACCCAACTATAAAACAAATCTATATCACAATAATAATTATCTGTACTTTGGAGGAACAAATGAACAATCCTTCATTTCTTTTTTGACAAGGAAATAAGAGTACTACTGTTTCGTTTGAGAACAACCTACCAAAAAACAAGTAGCATAATCATTTGCATTCATCGACGACGATTCATACCAATCAAAACTCAAATGGTCCAAGAGCCTTTTCCGTGGTCGTACTGCCATTTCTCTGATTTTCGTTCTTCTGACTAGCACAAATATCGGTTGCAAACAGACATTATTATCTTATATCTATCTTCTGTTCCTGCTCTCCTCCTTCTCCCTCTCCCTCTTCTTGTACAGCTTCTCGAGAACCTGCTTCGCCTCGCACTTGGGGAAGTTATCCAGATCATAATAGTGAGGAGCTATGTCTACAAGCCTGTTAAGCACACAACAAAATTCGAGATCCAACCATCAATCAACTAGTCTGCAAAACCACAAGTGCATACAACTCAACGCATAGTAACAAAAGGAGGGAGCGAACACACACCATTCACCACGAATGTCTATCACTGTCCGAATGAAGTTCCTGCTAGTCAACACATATTCATTGTACACGACCCATTCTGGCTTGTGATCCAGACAATTCGATGGATGTAAGTGCACGACCTGCCAAAAGAAGAAAACAAAAACCGTTTTGAATACTTTGGTATGCAGAAACACAATCTCAAGCAGACAAAGATTGAAAGCAGCTAACATACTTGGTTGTCCTTGACAGTTAAGTAGTGCCCAGTACGTTCCAGATGAGCAACCTGCATAAAATACCCTGCCAGTATCGCCTTCCTTATGTTGACATAGTAATCCCTGCTGTTGAAATCGGTGCTGCACATCTTGAGGTTATACCTTGACATGCTCCGCACAAGCTGCTGCCTCACATTGTCAGCAGATTTCAGCGCTCTATAATTGATGAAATTATCATAGCACCATGATGGATCCTCATCTGCAACATTCGAGAAAAGGAAAAAAAAAAAACAGAAGGATGTTGACATGTGGTGATTAATAAAGAGAACATGTGTAAGTAGTAGAACGGAGAGGAAACAAGGAAATCAGAGGACTCACTGTTTTGCTTGAATGCATGGTAGACATTCAACAGAGTGAGGTGATCACCATCAATGTGGGCGAACATAGCTTTGGCTTCATCAGCAGCCTTTTGTGCCTCCCTAGGGCGGACAAAGCAATTGGGTACTAAAGAAAGAATTTTTGGGTTATCACAGAAGAGGCCCACGGTTGGTCAGCAGACGCATTACAGGCGAAGAAGACGCGACAACATTTGCTTCATGATGATATAATACTGAGAGAAAACTGCAAACTATCTGCATCAGCACTTAAAATCCTATATGGTGCATGCCAACAAGAGGTGGCATGGGAGCAATACAAGAGTTGCTGATGACACAACCTAATTGAGCACACATCGTCTTCACCTACATGCTTGTGGTACTACACAGGCATGAAGTTGATGAGCCTGAAGGGTAGCCGACTCAGTTAGGATGGAAGTTCGGGATTGGTATGGAATACCCAATATAAGCCATATGGTGGAATCATATATAGGTTTTATTCATTTGGCATTTCGGTAATTCAGTACTATTGAAAAATACAGGATTCTTTCACTTTATTATTTAATAATTAGGCGTAAAAGCCATAGGAGAGAGAGCTTCATTTTTTAAAAGCATTATTTCTCAAAATTTTGATCTTTTCCATAAATCATCCGAGAACTTTGGGTAAGCAGTTGGGTAACATCAAACTAGAATAATACTGCAAATGGAGTGTAATTTTATATTCACAAATTCCTATTCTGTGGGTAATACCGATACCAAACCAAACTTCCACCCTAAAGTCACAGTGAAACTGTGCATAAGCCCATATGGAATGGATCTTCAAACCCAACCATGTGCTACCAGAATTCAGACGACGCTAAGCACAATAAAAAAATCTATATAACACAAAATGAGAAATCAAGGGATATACCTGACAGCATAGCACAAAGAGAGAGGATCTCATTTGAGCAATTAAACTCTGGACTAACCACCAGCATCTTCCCCATCTGAGGATCGAGCGGAAACTCGCTCATAATCTCCCCAAGCTTTGTCAGGTTACCCTCATCATCCAGCGCTCCCAAATAGTTCAACATCTCCAAAGCCCTCATCAACGTCTCTGGTGCAGGTGGGTCCATGAAATCAAAATGGACTAGATCATCGATTCCCAGCTTCTTCAATGTCAGAACAATATTCCCTAAGTTCGACCTTAATATCTCAGGATAAGTCTGCGGCTGAAGATCCTGATTGAAGCTCCTCTCAGTATAAAGCCTGAAGCATTTGCCCGGCGCCGTCCTACCAGCTCGACCTGCTCTCTGATGAGCACTAGCCTTGGAAATAGGAGACACCAAAAGGGACTCAACTCGAACACGTGGGTTGTAAACTTTTTGCTTGGCAAAACCGGGATCAATCACATAAACAATCCCGTCTATAGTAAGAGAAGTTTCAGCAATGTTTGTAGAAACCACGATTTTCCTCCCGGGTGGACCGTCCTCTTTTAAAGGAGGTGGAGCAGGCTCGAATATCTTCTGCTGCATGGCTGGAGGAAGAGTTGAGTACAAAGGCACGGTTTTCACAGGACCCACCTGGTCTCCTAAATTACCAATCTCTTTAGAAATTTTGCGACAAGCATCTTCGATCTCTTCCTCACCTGTTAAGAACACTAGTATATCTCCAGGCCCTTCACATGTGTGTATCTGGACAACCGTTCTAATTGCTGCTTCAAGGTAGTCTCTTTCCGGCTCCTGTGTGTAGAATATCTCCACAGGGTGTAGCCTACCAGGGACTTTCATTAGAGGTGCCCCACTAAAATAACCCTGAAACTTTTCAGCTTCGAGAGTTGCACTCATGACCACCAACTTAAGATCCTGACGGTTTCTCAACACCTCTTTGAGAAGGCCAAAGAGCACGTCTGTTGCTAAAGTTCTCTCATGGGCTTCATCAAGGATTATTACTTTGTACCTTTCCAACAGGGGATCCGTCATGGCTTCTCTTAAGAGCATACCATCGGTTAAATACCTGAACAAAGATTAGAACAGCGGTTTGTGTTAACACAAGGTACAGGGTATACAAAGATTAAGTTGAAGACAGAAAACAAAAGCCACTTACTTCAAAACTGTCTTATGACTGCTCTTGTCTTCGAAACGGATGCTATAACCAACTTCTTCACCGATGATGACATCCATCTCTTCAGCAACACGTTGTGATACAGACATTGCAGCCACTCGACGAGGCTGAGTGCAAGCAACCAGCATCTTGCGCCTCTTATCCGAAGTGTCCGACTCAGCAGCTTCCAGAACGAATTGCGGAATCTGAAAACAAGCAATTCTCATTAACTATAGCATTCCACCTCATACAAACACTCGGAAATCTAGTTAATCCAAACCTATGCTCAAAGTCAGTTTATGCTACGTAACTAATTAGAAACCCATCAAGATCAAAGCTTCACTAAATCCCACTTTTACATTCACGAAACCAAAAACAATTCACGAGGAATTAAGAACAAGGAGTAATGAAAAAGACACAAGTACCTGGGTAGTTTTGCCACTCCCAGTCTCACCAACAAGGATGATAACCTGGTTCTTCTTCAAGACATCCAAAAACTCCTCCTTCTGCTGCCAAACTGGGAGAGTCTTCCTCTTCTCGAGTATGTCGTAATACCTCTGCGAATACAGCTTTCCATTCCACCGATTGACGGAGCTGCTGCCGCTCTGGGTGATCCCGTTCGAGAACATGGTGGCTGTACCAACAGCTGCTCCACCGTTGGCCGCTGACTTTGCGAGCTTAGCAGAGACCGACGACTCGTCCACCACATCAAACAAGCTCACCTTCCTCTTCCTCTCCGTACCCATTCAAATCCCGCGTTCACGCCCGTCCGGAACCCTAATTGGTGCGTCGCACCAGAAACAAAATCCAGCGAGCGCGAAATCCAGAAGAAGAAGAAAAAAAAGCTACGAGGTAATTGCAGGCACGGCGAATACCAGACGGAACCCTAGCGGTGTGGGTTTGGCAGGAACCGGGGGCGGGGAGAAAGGTTCGAAACGGCGGGGGCAGTTCACAGTTGTCGTGCCCTATATATGTGACGGAAGAGAACGTCCGGCTTCTACTCGGGCAATGGGTGGGTCAACCACTAAACCCACCCGAGTCGGAGTCGGAATCCTTTTGTGTCGGTTATTTATTATCTTTCGTTTAGATTCCATGGTTAATTTACATAATGGTCACGTAATTGTACACTTTTGACAGAAGACTAATACCATGTCTTCTGCTCATTATTTTTGCTATGTTGTTAACAAAGAAGAGAATTGTGATCCAAACTGAAGTGTACATGATTACACTAGCGTAGTAAAGCGATACAAACGAGTAGGGTTGTTAATGAGCCGAGCTATTCGTGAGCGGCTCGGTTTCGAACTTGATAAAAACTCGTTAGATTAAAAAAAAGCTCGGCTCGTTCTCGTTAGATTAAAAAAAAGCTCGGCTCGTTAATAAACGAGTTGAGCTTGAGCTCTACCTTGTTCCGCTCGTGAAGGTGGCTCGTTTAATACAACTCATGAGTTGTCTCGTTTTGAGCTTATGAGATGTCCCAACATTGTGACTAGAGAGCCAACTCGATTACAGCTTATGAGAAAATCAATCTATATTTTATGAGTTGGTTTGTTAATGATGCATATAATTATTAAATTGTATATATCACCTCATATGGTGTTTAATACATTGAGTATATGTAAGCAAATACGCCTCATATATGACATAACATTAGGTAATCACTTGTATCACATATGACATATAAATATTAGGGTGTTTATATTATAAATTATCTTAGAGTTGAGCACGAGCCGAACTTTCGATCTTAATGATGTGTCAAAATTTAATAAATGAGTTGGCTCGTGTTCGGCTCGTTTATAAACGAGTCGGGCTCAAGCTCGGCTCGTTTATAAACGAGCCGAACATGAACAAGACAAAACTCAACTTGACTCGGCTCATTAACATCCTACCGTGATTAATCAACTTACTAGTATGTTAATTGTTGTTCTGATGTAATTGAACCATATACACTTTAGTTTACATGACAATGCTTTTATTTATTTACAATATAAAAACTAATGAGTAGATGACATGGCATGTTTTATGTCAATTCCCTCACACTCATTAGATTCATGTGCATAATCTTATTTCATTGTACATGTTTACTTTGTTTGGAGTGATGGATCCAGGTATTTTATATAGTTGTGTCCCTTTCAAAACATTAAATTAAAATAATAATAATAAAATTTAAAAAAAATAAACTCACTGTCTAAATTACTCAACGAATATTTTTTAAATATATCATACTAGACAATTATTCACAAACTGATCACTTATTAAATATCGTATGATCCATGAAACCGTACCAGAGACTGTACTGGAAAAATCAGTGTTATGGGTATTTTATGGCAAAATCGTGGTATAATCGTAGTTCAACCGTTAGTATCGGTAAATAGCGTCTACCGATTTAGCCTCCAATATTGGTATTTTGTAGTTGAACCGTCAATACGGTACGATTTCATGGACCATGCAATTTCGAAACATGTTCTTAATGTAATCCAAAGCCGAAAAAGTTATATCAACACTCGTCGTTGCAACTAGTAAAATCAATAAAACTTTGAGGAGCAAATAGACCCATAATATCATAGATTCACCTTTATCTCCACCATCAACTGAGTTCATTCACCATTCCTTATAATCCACCGAATAAGTCATCATTCTTAACTCAATGATAATAATTCTAAAAGCCTAGTAGAACAAAATAGTGAGAAAGGTTATCGAGCTCTTTAGAGTATGGTGGGGTTAAGGGGTAGCCCATAGCCGAATTGGATTTGACTTTTAGGTTTTGTAAAACTCGGGGATAAGGGTAGCTTGTAGAGGCTTATAATTATATTAATATTTAAATTATAACAACAAATGAATTGTATTTCAAAGCAAAACAAGTTTGCCTAATAACTATAGTCTGACATGTTTAAATCACACAAATTACCATCTATTTTTTCCCCATTTTTTTCTGTAGTCGAACTATTATTGAAAATTCGTTTATTCCCCTCCAAAATTTAGGGGTTTTCCGATACACCCCTAAGCAGCACTGGGTATGCCCTTGATTGCTTGTATCATAATGATTAGTCACATGAAGGAGAATTCTTTGTGCAGAAGGTTATTATTGATTCAAGGTGTCAAGTGTATAAGTAGTCACTAAACTTTAATGTCACTAACAAATTAATCCGTAAACTTTCATGGTTAACAAAATTTCCACTAAAAAGTTGGAATCAAATCACTCTATAGTATACCCTAACTTCTAATAAACTAATTTTATTCCCTAATTATAAGATTCATTTAATTTTAAAAAAATCGATATTTCTTATTTGTCAAAATAGATTAAATTACATCTAATAATGTAAACATATACGTATAACTTCCTAAATTTACAAACTATTTCTTCGTGGAATTAATAAAATGAATTATAAATTATTCCCCCTACGGCTGACCTACCACAATTGGAATGAACATTGAACAAGTAGGAGCATCAACGTTATCATTTCATTACACACTTGTCTATAGAAATTAGAGGTAATCATATCGTGTTCCACCTTTTCTGTCCAAATGCAACATTTGCATGTGGCTATCGGTTGGCACGCCCTTTTCTGTGATTGATTTCTTTCCAAGCTTGTTGCGGCTAATCTAGTTTTTCTATACCGATAGATTTGGAAAGCTAGATGCACAACAACGTATAAATGATTTGCATGTACTTCAGTTCGGCAGGTGGGAGAATGGGGACTAGCTCAAGCACAAGTGCACCACCGTTCAGTTGGTTCAGTTGGTCACGATGATTAGAGTTTTCGGAGAGATTCAATAATTGATCTTATATCACATACTGATGGCCACAACCCCTCAAATAAAAGTCACTCATAAGAATTTGAAGTTTGCACTGATACGAATATCATGTGTTTAACAAATGGAATTATAGAGATTTTTTATGGATCTTATATACATACCGACACGTCCCTCCTACTATTCCTACTAGTAATCCAATCTTAATATATTATACTACAAAGTGAGAAATAGATATGCACACTTGAAAAGAAGACCTTTAATATTTTCGTAATGATAACTCTAAAAAATAGATATTAAAATTTCTTGATAAATGTTCAATTGAAAATGAAGATATCCCAAATCTTAATGCACTTGAGATCCTTTTTAAAAAACAAAGAGAAAATTCTTTACAAACCACAAATAAGTAGTTTCATTTTATCTTGTTCAACGAGAACTTTCCTATTTCTTACTCACTAAACCAATTATGAAATTGGATGAAGAAATTTAATTCATTTGTTTTATAATGAAGTAATTAAGTCAAATACTCTCTAGTAATGCAAAATGAGATGTAACAATTGAGTCGAGAAAATTTAAATTGTCTTACTTGTATCGATTTGAATTGACACGATACATATATTGCAAAATAATGCATCGATTGAAGACTGTCTCATTTCATAACTTCATCATCCAAACAACTTCTTACTTACTTAATGCCATTGGGTACTCCTCATATGTACATTACAACGAGAACATGTTAATCTAGGATATCTCGATTCACACTAGCATGGAAATTTCAAATTTGAAACTCCAAACATTGTGGATAGTAATATTTGTTTGTATCAGTATAAATATATTTGTATAAATTCGTAGGGAATTGGTCAAATAGAACAAGAAAACAGACAGACATACGTAGGCGAAACAAACAATGGACGTAGTAGCAGAAAGAATTGTTAAATTTCTTGTCCCCCTCTCGTTTCAGTGAGAAACGAATATAGAAAGCGTTTAAACAAAATTTACAAGCTCGGAATTAAAATCAGTCCATCGTCTACATCGCTCGCCCAATACTTCTCCTCCTCCTGGAATTCTCCCCCTTTGATCGCTTCGCCACAAGGCAACGAATTTCATACTTCCCCTATTCCCATTATATACCTTCCTCTCTGCCTCTCTCCTCTCTCTGTCTCTCCCTCCCCGTCGGAATAGCAGACGGCTGTGAAAATGGCGGATACCCACAATCACGACGACTTAGACCAGCTGCTCGATAGTAATACCCACCTGCCCTTCTTCGTTTTTGTGCGATTTCTCGACTCAAGTTCCGACCTTTTTTGTTTCTGCTTCCCTGTAGGTGCTCTCGATGATTTCCAGAGTCTCAATTTTGCGGCTCCAGCCTCACAGCAGCGGTTCCGATTCTTCCTTGATTGATGGCTTCCATTTGTGCTGCTCCTTTAGTAAAATTTTCGGCATGTTATCTTAGAAAAAAAGCTGTGATTGGTAATGCAGAAGCGCTGGCGGCGATGAAGAGAGGATGAAGGTTGAGGGGTTTGGTGATTTGCCAGCTGGGATTCAGGGTTTGGGGATGGGATTGCCCGGCTTGAAGAAGAGCAAGAAGAAAGGGAAGCAAATGGCGGCTGCGACAGCAGGAGATTCTTCTACTGGTCATGTGGCGGAGGCGCTTGATAAGCTTAGGGAGCAGACGAAGGAGGCTGTGAAAGGAATGGAGTCTGTGACTAGTGATTCAAAGGGTGATGACAAGGATGTTGCAATGGAGGCTTGGGTTAAGCAGTTCGAGGAGCTCGCCTCAACCCAGGTAAAGTTTCAACCTTTTTCCTCTCTGATCGTGCTTCATGATGTGATCTTGGTTCTCATGTATAGACCGTTATTTGGAAATGAAGGCCATTGACTTGTTGTGATTGACTTGTTAGAGTTCAGTTTTTGGTTTGTTTGTGGTCGATCACGCTGAAGCACTGGCTACTGCCAAGGAGGGTCTCCTAGGTAAGTAGGAAATGTTTTTTTGCTATTGGTATGAGCAAATAGTTGGAATCTTCTTGACAGTCCAGACTGAGTGAGAGATTTGACTCTTAAACTGCTCATAGAATGTATCTTCACTTCGATAAGTCTCTTGGCCAAGTTAAGGATGGAAAAGAGGTTTGCTTTCTTTGTCAATAGCCCGTGTAGTTAAAAGTTGGAGGCTATATGATGTCTGGTGAAATTGATGGATGTGTGCTTGGGCTAGGAACTAGGTTGTGAATTATTGTTATGGAGGACAGACGTACGGGGAAGGCAATTTAGCAGTTAAGAGTTAAGACTATCATTTTGATCTCATTGTTATCCTAGATCCTGATGTTCCTTTCTATCCAACTTTCCTCCTTTTATGAAATCATCAGTGGATGGTGTCATATTATCATTGTCCAAAGTTTTACCATGTATTTGTGACTAATCCTGGCTTCTTCCTGTTTGCTTCATTTGCAAACTCTGCACCCTCGGTTGTGAATTATCGTCACAGCTTAACTTCACACAGCAGTCAGTTTAATTCCAATATATCTCAACTTAAGATTGGAATCTAGTCAGTTTGCAATTCTGATACCCTGTAGGGGTTTCTTGTGATTTAAGAAACTGAGATGCATGTCTTCTTGAGCTGGAAAGGCTATATGAAATTTGGAAGGGGAATAATTTCTTCAGATAAAAGAGATTTGGGAGCAGAAGGGCCAGATTTTACACTTTTGTGGAAGCATTTCCGTTCTAAACTTAAGTGATACTGCTTCTATCTTTTCGGATGTCTTGAGCTCTTGCCTCTTTGCGGTAATGTTCTACCTTCATTATCTTATTATGTTTATCTTTTCTCCTCCTCCCGTGATCAGGACATGGAATCTCTGGTGGAGTCCATGATGCAGCAGCTGCTGTCAAAGGAGATTCTTCATGAACCCATGAAGGAAATCGAAGGGAGATATCCAATATGGTTGAAGGATCATGAATCTAGTTTGAGCAAGACAGAATACGAACGTTATTCCCAACAGTACGAACTCATAAAAGTTCTGAACCAGGTTTACGAGAACGACCCCAACAACTACACCAAGATTACCGATCTCATGCAAAAGATGCAAGAGTGTGGGCAGCCACCTGATGAAATCGTCCGGGAACTCGCTCCTGATCTTGATTTGGCTAGCCTCGGTCAGATGTAAGTGCTTAAACTTCTCATCTAATTCTTATAAGTTATTCATTTTGCAACGTCATGACATGCGTATTTAAGAAATGCCCTTCTCCTTTGCCTTCTTTTTTGAATTTACAGAACACCAGAGATGATCGAGTCCCAGCAAAACTGTAGCATAATGTGAAGGAAGACAGACAGAGATACCTTTGCTTATTGAAAGAAAGCCTATGATCAAATCATCTTCACTTCATGTTCTACTCTTTATTCCTGTAGCTACTTTTGAGTGAAACATTCATCTACATGAAGAAGGTAGTCTGGTCTGGCATTCCACCATATATTACGAAAACACACGAAGGAACATGGTTGATTGTCGGTTGTCAGTTATCACAAACGCAATCTCCAGTCCTCTGTATGACTGTATCAACAATCACAAGAAAGCCATGTAAAGCAAGAAAACCACAAAAACTCTGTATAACACAAACTTCTCTTATGTATGTTCCTCTAGATACTGGATTACTGGTCTTTGGACTTCGAACGAATGAAAGAATGAATGAATCGCGCGTTACAGATAAACAGGAAGGAAGGAAGAATGAATCACAACTGATTCTAAGCAAGTAAAGCATCAGCTGGAAGCCAGTGCCTGCCATTAACAAAGCTCTTGGCTAGAAACTTGTGTGCAGAATCATAATCTAGCTCTCTTGCCCATGATACACCTCTCACTTTCTCAGCTCCAGGCCCCCAACATTTGTACACTCCAAAGTACGCCGTCCTGTTCAGTTAGTTAATCAACCGAACAGATTAGTCATTGTTGTGCGGTGGCATTGCCATAGTCTGGCTAAGAATGGAAATGCATATGTTTGCTTGCTTACTTGTTTTTGTTGCTGACGTGGTCCCAGTCATCCCAGCCACCGTGTGCAACCACGTCATCGAAGTAGGTATAGGAGTAGACGATCCTGGAGTACTGGCCCATGGCTCGGCCCACGTAGAGCGGGCCTGTCCCAGTCACTCTGCAGTTGAAGAATGCAAAGCCCGACTTCTCGTCAGGGTGTCTTCTATCTTGGGCCGCGATGGACCCGAATCTTGTGGCTATCGAGTGCAGCTCGCAGTCCTGCATCCCCACATAAATCGTAATCAACCAGCCATTCAATTTTCATAATGAACCGCTCAAAGATTTTACAGTATTTATAATTAGAGGAATTTTAAAATGCATCGATATTTTCGGATACAAGTTAAATTTGTATTAAAACATAGAATGTAAAAGCTCAGTTTGTATCAGAGTAAAATAATTTGTAAAAAGCATCAATAAATCAAACCGCATTTATTATTCTTACTTTATCCAAACTAAGTAAATCAATATCAAAAAATTAAAAAAAAAAAATCGTATACGGCTTAAGGAAAAATTTGGATTTGAAACACCCTCAGTATATAAGTCAATAAAGTGAGGAGATTGGTGATTCGTCGGCTGATTATCTGAAGCCATTTTTTTGTTTTCTTGTATGAAACTAGAGCTTGCAATGAGGGGAAAAAATGAGATACATCCTAGCTTAGCTAGGGAACAAATTCTCAAGGAAGCAAAAGTCTAATATGGCACCCATTCTTTTTTAATACACTTTATATATAGTACCTTTTACTATATAAAAGAGTACATTTTACTATATAAATAGAGCAATGTGTGTTTCAAAATGTACAACATAATGTGGTGGACCAAATGACACATTTGGTCACTGAGATTATTAAATTGTGTCATGTTTAGTCACTAGAAAAAATTAATATCAATTTTGGTCACTCGAATTACCGAAACTGGTCAAATTTAGTCACTCCCCCGTCAGTTTCCGTCCAACTCCATTAATGTAGTTGGACGGAAACTTTTGGGAGAGTGACTAAATGTGACATGTTTCAGTAATACGAGTGACTAAATGTGACATTTTTCAATAATTCGAGTGACCGGAGTTGGACAGAGGCTACAGAAGAGTGACCAAATGTGACTTGTGTCAGTAATTCGAGTGACCAAAATTGATATTAAATTTTTCTATTGACTAAATATGACACGATTTAGTAATCTCAGTGACCAAATGTGTCATTTACCCTGGTGGACCACAATGATGTGAACACTATATATATATAGAGTTTCATGATGTGAACAACACAATGTGGTGATGAGAGAAAGGTAGCTAGCTACGAGACAGAAACCAGCAGATCCATGCACATTTATTAGGTCACGGGCTGGTAATGTGCACCACTCGTTTTCTTTCTTTCTTTCTCTTTCCCGGTTCGAATTAATGTACGTACGAGTACGAAGCAGCAAACGGCGAGTATAGTATTAGTAGGGGAACAGGTGAGTTAATTAGCTTACTTTGTACATGGACCTTCCGTTGCCGAAGATGAAGTCGATGGATCCCTCGATGTAGCAGTCGTTGAAGTAATGCCTGCCGGCGTCGTCGCACAGCGTGTCCTGCGCCCCGTAGAACCCGCACCCCACGAAGTACGCCTTGTCCCCCGACACCCGAATCGCCACCGCCTGCCACCCTTGCAGCCCCGGCCGAGGCGCCGCCGGCGCCGTGTTCTATACATTGTGCGCACACACAAATGAAGCTGTTAGGTTATATAAATATGGAGACCATGGTGATTGTTAATAATAAGGTACAAATTAACTAATTAATTACCTTGAAGCTGATGTTGCGCGCGGTGAAGTAGTTGGCCAGCACGGTAACCGAGGCGGTGCGGTAAGTCCTGAGCTGCTCGCCGTTGGGTGCCGGGTCGCTGGCTCGGTCGTGCCACTCGATCACCGTCGCCCCTCTTCCCGCCGCTCCTTCCAGCGTTATGTACGGCTTCGTCGCCGGCACCACCACCTTCTCTCTGTACATTTAAATAATAAATATTAATCAATTATCATTATTATTACAATTTACACAATAAGCATGTTTATATTCCGTTAAGTAGTGATTTAAGTAATTGTACATGTAGACTCCGGGGGAGAGGAGGATGATGACGTTCTCGTTGTTGTTCTCCGGGACGGAGTCGATGGCTGCCTGGACGCACCGGAACTGGCCCGACCCGGCGATGTCCACCGTGATGACCCGGCGGCCGACCGGCCCGACCCAGCCGTGGTGGCCGCGGCGGTGCTCCGAGGAGTTGGGGGCAGCTGCGGGAGAAGGAGAAGGAGGATAAGAAGAAGAAGCAGTAGTCAGTACTACTGAATCATGCAACAAGAATGAATAAAGCAAAGCACAGCAAAAAAGCAAACGATAAGTATAATTAGTAGTAGAGTAGTAGATAATTAGGGAAGCCATTGATGGATTAGAGGCAGCTTATTATTTAGGAGAATATATATCCTGGAGATAATCAGTCGTCACTGAGCGACTGAGTCAGGCTGGCAGCATGGGAGGGGGAATTATTAGGAGATGGTGTAAGAAGTATACGAAGTTGCGGTCGTTTATTTATATATTAAAAACCAAACCTGAGTTATTGTCACATTCCTGGCCCTTCCAACGGTCGTATTTCTTGTTAATTTTGGGAGGAAGGTTTTTTTTTATTATTATTATTCTTTTTTTGGGTGAAGAAAGTTGCGTTCCAAATTATTTGGCTGGATATTAGTGTTGGTATGTAAAGGTTGGTAGTCGTTATTTTGTGTTTGTTGTGTAGGGGGCTCCGTATTATTTATTTGGCTTTATCTGACTCTACTTGGATACTCTCCTTGTTATTAGCCCCATATATAATTGTATTGTGGGTTTGAGAGAATTCTCTTTCTCTATCTCGTGTGTTTCCCACACTACATTGTTGTCTACTTCTAACTCTCATCTTATTCTTCTTTCTTTGTTCGAGAGAATACTCTCCTCATTATGACAGAAATTTACTTTTACGATGAAAAAATATATATATAATGGCTGATTTTAGTCAAATCTTTTATCATTATTATGGATGACAATGTAAAACCATTATCATCCTCATTTTCAAATATCAAAACTCATACTCGTCTCATACCTATGCGCGAAATATTTTGCAATCTCATTCTCAAATCCATGATGTTCGGGTATCGGTGGGTAATACCCGCCACTTACGTCTAACATTATTATACCTTATGTTTTACATACAAATTTTAAATTATGACAAACGGACCTAATAAATGTTGAAATCAACAAAAATACAACCATTCTGAATATGGTTCATAGAATATGATCTTAATGTGGTTCATAGTATAATAATGTTAGCAAGAAGGGGGGGAAATGAATGAGTGAAGGGAGGCTATGTTGTGGTAATTGTTCTTAATAAATAACATAATCTTCTAATAACTAGCAATAAAATAAATTACTAGTAATTGACATCTTGCTTAGCCAAAATTAACATCGCATGTAATATTTTCCATCGCCTGTATCCATCCAAATTTATTACCAAGCACTGTCAACTAAAAAAAATGTCTCTTATTGTTGATCCAAATTTCAAATTCTATGGTGAGAATGTTAGTGTGTGGTATATGATCCACGATTGAACTTCTCTCAACGACTCGAATTATTGGGATCAAACTGGTTCTTGATTGTGAATGTGTGATATATGCTCAGATTTCCAATATTACCACTGGTAACTAGCCCAACTCTAAAAAAATAATTTAGATCAACAGGTTAGACAAATTCTAAACAAGAAGAGGGTGTGCTACAATATATAATATATAAGTGGCATGCCGCATGCATTAAATAATTATGCGAAACAAAAACAAGGTTATCCTGTGGTGGGATTAGTTCTAATTATCAGGGTACTGATTGGCAGCCATTAACAGAAAGCTGAGACTGACACCTTTCTACACGCTGGTTCCTCTTCTTCAACAGACAACAATAATATCACGATTTATGGTCTAGGGCATGGATTTAACCTTATTTTATCCTTCTGTTAATTAGTACGTTACCGTTAATTATCTCTCTTCTCCTCTCTGTTCCTCTCTGGGTTTGTTGCTGGTCCCGAAGTTGCTAATGGTAATGGGCCCCAGGTGGCCTGATGTCTCTCGTCTTGTCGCCATCCTCGACTCTCAAAGATGCAGCAGTAAAAAGGCATCCAAACTTTTTCGAACGTTGGGTCTGGTTCTGGCATATATGGTGGAGCCTGAGCCTGAGCCTGACGACGACGGCGACGGACCCCAGCTTTCTTCTCTCGTCTCTGTCTCTCTCTTCGTTGGCAAAGGCTCACCCAATGGCTAACCCCCAGAAACAGAAAGGAATCAACGTACTGTGGGCTATATGCGGTTGGCCCATATTGGCCCCCGGAGCCCACAGAAGCCCGGCCCATTTCTTGCTTGCTAGGCTGACTGCAGACAGAAAAAACAATCTGCGCTGCGCCCACCTCTGGGCTGCAGCCTGCAAGTTGAGACCGGCGAGAGTAGCAAACTCTGCACCAACAGTGAGTTCGTTAACGTCAGAGGGCGAGAGCCTACTTCTGGCAACTGTCCCTCAATCTAGCTCTAGATATCAAATTGTGTTGAAGCGGAATGCAGGATTGCAGAGTGGAGAATTGAAGTTTGGTGCACTCTGCTTGAAGGAAGAATGTTGAAGATGGCGACTCTGAGGACTGGTTGAAGGTTGAATCGGGCTTCCTTTCACCCGGTTCCACTCATACTTCCATTCAGCAAACAAATGAATACATGTAATTAACGATTACATTTGCCACTTGACTTGACACTACTTAATTTGTTTGTTTAATTAGTTGCTTAGTCTATCTTAGCCACTAGCACCGTGTTTAGAGACTTATGTACAGTTGACCCTCCTTGTATAAGCTCCTGCAAAATTCTTTTGTTCATCATTTTCTTCTCTAACCCTAGCACTAAAGTAATTACAAGACTAACATCTGGTTTTTTAAGTGAGGGATTTAGACCCAATTCACTTATAGATTCCTCAAAATCAAATTACTCATTCAAACGACTCCGAAAAGAAACGCCAATGGGTTATTCAACTGGACATAGTTGACAGAGTAATACTCTTGGCAAGTTGATGCAATGTACGTTTGCTCCATCATGTATTTCTGACTTTTGTTGCTTCTTTCAGTTTCAAAAAAATGTACCAAACTAAAGAAATATACACTCAAGAAAAAAGTCTCTGCAACCAGCCATTCCTTTCTATTCTTTGCTACCGCTAATGAAGGAAGTTACAGCAGTGACGATGACAATAGTCCATTACAAAACCAGGCAGAGCTTTACATGAGAAACGTAGACCCTTTCTCCCTCTTCTATGAAATATGAATACAACATTACCATCATCTCCCAGTACGTAGTTAGCTTTTTTTCAAGTCCCCAACAACAATCAAAGAATTACAGAGGACGAGTTCAGAAGAACTAAAGACGAAGCCCTATCCAAAACTCTGACTTCCCCCTTTATCATCATTCCGTCCTCTTCAACAAAGCTTGTTCAACCCTGAAGGCGGCGAAGATGACTCCCCAAGCTTAGGAAACAGAGCTTCCCTCTCAAGATGGAGGCTAGCCATGACCTTACTCAACGAAACCCAGAGCAATGGCGCGGCGCAGAAGGCGTACCCGAACACCGACAAAGCTCTCACAACACCATCTGGGTAGTAAGGAAACGCCATCACAAACAGAACTCCCGAGATCCCCATCCACGGCATCAGGACGTGGAGCGTCGGCAGCATGAAGGCGTTGATGGCGATGGAGCAGAGAGCGAATGTGCCCAGCAAGTACAGAGACCATCCCAGCACGGGGTGAAGAGTGCAGGGGATGATGAAGAATGGGACTACGTACGCTGCGAGGATTGCCCATAATGAGATAAGCTTGATGGTGGATTGCAGCAAGGAGATGGTTCTGTCGCCGGTTCTGCGGTTGCATAGCTTGGTCAGGTTTGGCCTTGCGAGACGAGTGACTGCTATTATGCCGAGGTAGAGGATTGATTGGATCACCACCATTGGCATCTCTGGTCCATATCTGCTCACCAATAACAATGTTGGTTCTTACAATTAACTTATATTCCCCGCTCCATAAGATGTTTTTCTCCACAATGTAATATAAATAGCTTACCCGAGATGCTGACGGCGCTGCTCGTGCCACTGGATGCCTAGAGGCAGAACGGGCCACGACCACCAGTACCATGGCTTCAACCATGGCGCACCAGGGAAAGTAATGACGCTGTTAGGACCGCATGGGACATTCCACCTCAATCTGAGATCTGAACGGTCAAACAAACAAACGTTCAGAATACTTCAGTTAAAAAAGTGGCGATCTTTTTCGAAAGATGGTTGCTTCTTAATTTGTTACTCAATACTCACAGTAGTAAGAGGCATCCATTTGATAACCAAGAGGAAGCCTATACGACCCATTGACGGCTGACCCACTGGCGGGAGGGTGGAACAGTGGCTTGTCCAGCAAGTCAGGGAAGTATCCGCCGATGAAGCCTTGGTCTGCACCATCAGGGTTGTCTTTCCCGACGTCCACCTGATGAAGCATGTCTTTGAAAACTGCATCAGATGGCTGCAAGACGAAGAGACCCGTGTGGAAGATGCAGGGGTTGATGAAGACCGCACAGAACTGGCCGCACTGGAACAGCTCGTCGGAGTTGCGGAGGAAGAGGTTGTCGGCATCCAACATGACGACGCGGTCGTAATCGACGAGGCTCCATGCGTAGAGCTTGTTTAGTGTGAGCTTGAATCTCCTGTCGAAGTTGGTTTGGTCCTTGTATGGGTTGTTCACGTTCTCCACTCTCACCACTCTTGCTCCATCCTCAAGTTCCCTAAGTTCACAAAGAAGAACCATCACAATTAGTCAGCTTTCTTTGCACATGACATAATCTAGATTTCTATCCACAAGTTTAAGATATTTATATTCAAGATCAAACCGGATTAAATCAAGTACATCTTTCATTAAGGTGTTATCCTTTTCTCTTACTTTAAAAACCATCCTACATCAAATTGGTTCAATTTCAATCCAAACCAGCCATTAACGATGAATTGTCAGCATAAACACTACACATTCCTAATATCCCTCTATTTCCGTTAGTAAACAGATTTGATGGTCTGCACATTTAGCAGGCCTCCCGCAGGAGCACATGGGTTAGCTGAGCTCACAATTCTCAATCCAAAACAAGTTAATTGAATAGAGGAAGGAAAATGGACAATTCGCCAAGATTCAACAAATGTTTGCTTAAATCTCCATATAATTAAAACAGCATTATAAAATCTTTTCGAAGAAAACAACAAAAACAGGACTTGTCATAAAAACATGCCACTCCCACATGCTCGTCATCTGATCAACTAACCCAAGAACTTGGCAAGAAAACAGAGGGGAAGTTTCTGGACTGTGTCAGGATTTGGTTGAATAATGATTCCAAAATGCATTCATCTAATGATCATCATCATAATTTCCCTTTACTTTTTACAGAGCATTTCGAGTTGGTTGGTGGGTTTCATAATCACGATTGGGATTGCCATAGATAGATTAAAGTAAGAAACATAGTTTGTGGGTAGCTAGCTAGATTAATATTAGATTAGATATCTCCAAATGTGTGGTACAAGTGTACAACTGAGGTACCGTGTATCGATTTTGCAGTCCAGTAATGGTAAATGCTTTCAAAGACTATCATCCTAAACATCCCCCACTAAGGGAATGTCATTTTCAGATACCCGAGTGACCCAAAAATCAAGTGGAATGTGGGATGTATTTCCGATTTTGATGGGTCACTACACCTAATTACATGAAATTACTAGAACATAAGGAAGCTTCTGAACTACAGACCTTTTCAAATAATCAATTAAATATATTTTTTATGATTATAAAGACTTTAAGAGATTATTCATTAGTATTAATGCACCCAGAATATGTCTGAAATTTTAGTCTGCCATGCAATTGTAGGTTATTATACTGTTCATATATGCACAAAGAGAGGAGGAGATAGATCGATAGGAAAGTAAAGGATAAGTTTTGAGAAGGTGCTAAATGACTCAAAAACATTATAAAGTGGTGAGGCAACTTCCTGAAAATTCACCTTTGTCCCACTAATACAAAAGTGGGCAATCCTCAAAACAGATAGAACAGAGCTTTTCTGTCCAATTTACACCATTCTAAAGCTATGTTTGTCTGGAGCCTGGACATTATCACTAAAGGGGCTATCAATCATGAAACTCATTTCCTTTGGGGGGGAAATATACCAACTTTTGGCTTTGCTGAAGCAATAAAGTTTAGTACTAACAACAAGGATCGTGTTTGCTTGCTTAAGATACAAAAAAAAAGTAGAAGTAACGATAACAAGAAGGAAACAGAGCCCTCAAGGACAACGTTTCTTTGGTCCTCTCGAAACCATGTACTATGATAAAATAATTTAGTAGAAGAAGCATGCCAAGTACCTTGTGGAATCCGAGTGGTCAAAACAAGGGAAGGGGGAAAGGACACGAAATAGAATAATATTGGGAGTTTTTTATTTTTCAAAATCCAAAGAACAAAGACAAAGTATCCAAGACAGAAAATATTGTTCCCAAGAAATTGAAGAGAAGTTTATTGACAAACATCAATCAATCCGAGTATCCGACAATATCCAAAACAGAGGACGTCGCCCACGGCCCACATAAAATTGTTTCTTATTAATTCCTCACAGCCTACTTATCATAGTAAAAATGAACCATGTATTCAAAACGAAAATATTTTTTGTCAAAATTAAAACCATTTTTTTTCCTAATAATGCTTGTTCATTGAACATAGTAAAATGTTTACGCCTTCTTGGATCTTGGCATATCTTGGAAAAATACATAGTAAAATGTTTTGGTAAGTAGAATTTGAGTTCAAATCTTGAATTAGTCCCATAGGAGGGATCAAGGCACTTGAGCAAGTAAAGCCGGTTTCAAAATTGTGTGGAAAATGGAATGCCAAAGAAAATGCGGCAATGGCCCTTTCCCTGCCCCAAAATGATGCTGACCAGCGGGAAATTTAAAATTTTATGCGCGGGGATAGAATAAAATAAAACGAAAATAAAAACAAATGGTTATAGAATAGAAGTCCTCAAAAGATGAATTCAGTCATTCACCGTCCATCAAGTCAAGACCTGCCACGTGGATTCAACCCTGCAGAAAGAAACGCTCTTCTACAGATGGGAGAAGCCGGTTGGCCGGGCCCCTCACATGCCCTTGTAATTAAGGGCACTTTTCTTTTCATTAAATATATGTCCTTAAAAAATTAGACCCAAGCAAGCATATTCCCCTTCCGTAATCCAAAATTATGCCTTAATACCTTAAGCATAATCAAAATCCCGGATTATGACACCATAAACCTATTTCCATCTACCATATCAGAATCAACAAACTAAAAACTCCGCTAAATATCTTTTGAAATCCCAAACGGTCAGGGAAGTCTAATGAAGCTTTTAAAAAGTCTACAGTGGCACAAAAATATCTTTCCCTTGCCCCAGTCGTAAAAATGAAAAGGGGAAAGTATCTTTCGGGGGCAGGAAAAGCTTCATTCAGGAAATTAAACAAACACATGGTGGGCGTTCCTGACTCAGAACACCTCCACCGCACCTCTCTAATCAAATGCTATTCGTCCGTTTAGGCAAACTTCTGCCGTCGCTGTCGGCGATCGGGAAAATAATCAGAGGAAAAGACGAGGGAAGGGGACGAAAGAGGGAGCAAGAGAAGGACTCACATGGCGCGGACCCAGCGGAGAGGGACGTCGAGGGAGGCAATGACGACGAGATCGGCGTCAACCCGGAGAGCGGCGAGGGATCTGAGGAGAACTCGAGTCGCGACGTAGAACTCGTAGTCTCGGGGAGTCCCCATGTACATCATCGTCGCGTATGCGTTCCTGTGGTTGGGCCATTTCTGCAGTAGGTCCACTTGCTGCTGCTTCTCCCCCGGCCCCTGCGTCGTCCTGGCTGCTACCCCTCGAAACGCCGTCGTTTCATGGAATCCCGATCCAAACAACAGCACTAGAACTGGCAACAAACGAAGCACCGAAAACGTCCACCCAGCTGCCATTCCCGGCAGCTTGGACCGAGCCTTTCACGATGACGATGGCGACTCCAGGACGACCCTTCTCTGTTTTAACTGGGAAAAGGCGGCAGGGGATCTTGGGTCTTGTTTAATCGAGGGATGAAAGGGTTTTTGAGAGGAATGGGATGGGAGGCTGGGCTAATGGAGGATTTGTGTAGGTTGAGAGGGGTGGAGAAACCCAAGTAAATGAAAGACGGCAGAGGGATTCGAGGATGGGGGGCAAGAGAGGAGAGGGAATGGTGTTTGGAGAGAAATGGGAAGCAGGGCGTTGTGGTGGGTTTTTATTGATTTGTGAAAGGAAGGGGAAAGCGAAAGGCGGGGGGGAGAAGACTGTTTGACTGTGTGTGTTGTGAGCTGCTGCTGCGTCCCTTCCCTTCCCTTTCTTGCGATAGGGTCGAAACTCGAAACTGGCGGATTGAGTCAGACAAAGAGACAGAGGGACAGATGGAGGGCTCCTTTCTTTTATTTTTTCTTTTTTCTCTTTATCCTATCTATGAAATGTCCATACCGTTGGTTCCGGACAATTTAGGGAGATTTTTTTTTTTTACAAGAGGACACTGATTTTCCATTATTGTAGTAGAAGCTAGGTGTTACAAAAGGGGTGCGACTACATCCAGAATCTGAACCCAATCAATGGGTAACGAATTCCTGGCACAAGATCTAGCAACCCAATTTGCTTTTACATTGCTCTTTCGACCTATATGCGAGATTCGGACAAGGGGATTGGACATCATCAATTGCTTGATAGTGCAAATCCAAGCAGCAGCTCTCCATGGCCATTCCTTCTGATTGTCTTGCAAAGCATTGACAAGAGGCAGGCAATCCGAACGAACCAGACATGTAGAGTGTAGCTCAGTAGCCATGAGCACGCCAACCAAAAGGGCCTTGGCTTCAGCTTCAAGTGGGGAGAAACAGTGCAAAGTCTCAGCCTTACCATCGCAAATTTCACCATGGTTGTTCATAACAATGACGCCATATGTCGCCTCCTGAAGTCGCTGAAAAACGACCCGTCGCAGTGTATCTCAAAGTTATGAGTACTCGGCGGTGATGAAGAAAGTTCTGGTGGTGGGGTGGGCTGAGTAGAACATTAGCTGTGGTAGGCTTCTTGGGGCAGGTGATCCACTGGTGAAGTGAAAGAGCTGCCTTCGCGATCGTAGCTGGGGGCCAGAGGGGGGAGTGCTTGAAAATCCTCTTGTTCCTTGCTTTCCATGTCTGCCACATGTAGAAGATAATCTTTTGGATAGAGATTAGGGAGAAACTGGGGACCAGTGACGAAAGCCATTCCAGGAGAGGGACGCCAGGAGTAGGTAGAGGAGTCGTTGGCCATTCCTGCCTCCAACCTTCCGCTGCATGATGACAGGTGAAGAGGCAGTGGTGGATAGACTCAGCTGGATGGGCACAGAGAGGACATGTCATGTTTGGTGAGCATTTCCTGGCATGAAGGTTTTCCTTTGTGACTAGCGCACCCCTCGAACTTCTCCAAACGAAAAACTTGAGCTTCGGAGGTATAGAGAGGCTCCAAAACCATTTCCATCTACTCTAGCAAGCCTCTGAGACCCTATCAGTCGATCCTTGTGAAATCCTGGTCCGATTGTGGAAGACGTGAAATGCTGACTTCACAGTGAAGGAACCTTGCTTAGAGAAGCGCCATGCCTAGAAGTCTTCCAGGGACTCCGGACCAATTGGGATGGCCATGATCTGTTTCTGGTCTTGAGGGCTCAAAAAGTTCTGTAGAAGGTCAAATTTCCATTCTCTGGTGATGCCATCAATCCATGTATCTGCTGTGGAATGGTCAGGCCAGTTGAAGTCCAGAAGAGGTCCCGCCCTATCTCTTCTCCAGGGGTCATAAAAGAGTTTGGTCGAATTGCCATTGCCAATGACCTTAATTATCCCAATTTCCATCCATTTCTTCGCTTCACACAGGCTGGACCAGATCCATGATGCCTTACCCCCTTTCTTGGAGTTCAGGAAATCTGAATTCGGGAAGTAAATGCTCTTGAGTACCTTGACCCACAGTGCTTCTTTGTTTGTCAGGATACGCCAAGCTTGTTTGGCAAGCAAAGCCAAGTTAAAGGTGTGAAATGGTCGGAATCCCAGGCCCCCCTCCTCTTTAGGAGCATAAAGGACTTCACCCGCCCTCCAGTGAATAGCTTTCTTATTCAACGAGCCTCCCCAGAAGAAGTTTTTCAGCATTGAGTCCATCTTCCTAGTTGTTGCTTTAGGCAAGAGAAACAGGCACATAATATATGAGGGGATAGCTTGGAACACCGCTTTGAGGTGATCCTTCCTTGATCAGGAGTGGGGACATTGAAGCTAAAGAACATTGATGATTTCTCTTTGTTGACCTCTTGTCCTGTTATAGCCCCATAGATTCTGATAATATCAAGGATCTTCCTCGTTTCAGCAGTGGTAGCCTCCCCAAAAATAACTGTGTCGTCTGCAAACAAGCAATGTGTGAGGGTTGGGCAGTAGCGATTGATTTTGATCCCTTTAATATCCTTCAACAGGACCGCTTTCTCGATCAGGAAAGAGAGGGCATTCGACATCAAGATGAAAAGAAGAGGGGAGATCGGGTCCCCTTGTCGAATGCCTCGAGAGGGAGTGAAGGCCTCCGAAGGCTCACCATTGAAGAAGAGATTGAAGGACACAGTTGAGATGCAGGTATGGATCCAGGTGCACCAGACCTCATTGAATCCATATGCTCGAAGGAGGTTGATCAGTAGGTCCCATTCGACCAAATCATAGACCTTCCTCATATCAAGCTTCATCATCATCTCTTTCCTATTACTGGATTTGTTTTTTTTTTTTTTTTTTGAATTGATTGAGTACCTCGTCTACAATTATGATGTTATCCTGGATCTGCCTTCCCCCTGTGAAGGCTGACTGGAGCTCATTAACCAAACTCGGAAGCAGGGTTGGAGACGGTTTGATAGGATTTTTGTAATGACTTTGTATCTGAAATTGCAACAACTGATTGGTCGAAACTGGCTGATCACTTCAGGGGCATCAACCTTAGGAATAATTGTAATAAAGGTGTCATTCCAGCCTATTGGCATAACTCCTGTTAAGAAGAAATCAGACACTTCTTGGCAGAAAACATCATCAATGGAATTCCAGAACTTCCTGAAGAAAAGCCCTGGAAAACCATCAGGTCCTGGTGCTTTATTAGCCCCGAGCTGGAAGACAACCCTTCGGATCTCACTCTTTTCAATGGGGGCACTGAGGCATAGATTCATTTCTTCTGAGACAAGGCAAGGGAACCCTGCTAGCAGGTCCAGGTTTGCCTGCTCATTCTTGCTGCTGAACAGCTCATGATAAAAGCTGTTGACATGTGATTCCAAATCGATAGCGTTGGTTATCCAGTTGCCATCTGAATCCTTCAGCTTAAGGATTCGATTCCGATTCTTCCTTCTTATAGTGCTTGTATGGAAGAAGCCAGAATTCTGGTCCCCTTCCTGAAGCCATGAGATTCTTGATCTCTGAGCCCAGAAAGATTCTTCTGCCTCCATAAATGTTCAAGTTCCATGAGCAGGTTCTTCTCCTCTGTAACAATCATTGGAGACCTTAAACCTCCCTGAATAGTTTGGATTCTACTCCTGATCTCCTTCTCTCTCTTCTGTTTGGCGATTCTGTCATTCCTAGCCCATGCCATACCAGCCCAATAAGTCAGCAAGAAGCACCATCTAACCTCTCTTTCGACTGTCTGTCTTTTGTCCCAGGTGAGAGTAGGAAGATTTACCAAAGGAGGAAGCACATAATCAGGAAGAAAAGTCTGGCTGAGTTAATAGCGGAAGGATGCCAATCCGGAGAAGGAGAATCGGCCACTCCGAGGGCGACGGCGGCAAGCCTGAAGCCGCCTTTCCAAGAATGAGGATTTTGAGCTGGAATTGTAGGGGGTTCGGCCAACCCCTTACAAGGAGCTACTGCGGTAAGACTCTGCCGGCAATATGGCCCTTCTGTGATGTTTTTAATGGAAACCAGGAAAGAAGACTCATTCATGGAAGAGAAGAAAAGAGCAACTCGGTTAAATGCCAAATGGGCTTAACCGATATATATAGCATTAGCACCGGTTGATATTATTGGATTATTTATCTATTTTACTATTTATAATTAAATTATTGTTGTGGTAAGTTGCATATTGCGAGTGATTAAACAAATAACGCCTTCACGCGTATTAACATTTGTAGTTGTGGATTATAAGATGAATGATCTCACAACATTAACAAGCAATAATTTATAGGCTTGTTCGCTAAATATCAAAATTCTTGTTGGTCAATGTTAGAAATATGTCTATTTGAGATACACTAGTTATTTCACGACTAAATCATTGATCATACTATCAGTTATTTATCTGGCAATTTGGATGTCTAAAATTAAGGAGTCACTATTTTAAGTGGACTCAAGTCACATTACAAACTCTCTTCTTATAACATAGTCGAGGCAACTCTATCACGTGCATATGAACCCAATTTGATCCGGTCCTTCAGCCCTATTTCTTAAGGAGGATCTCAAACCCTTGTCAATCAATAAGGGAAGGACAGAGAAAGAGGGAGGTAATCATTGGCTAACTACCTAAAAGGGCAGTATTGGAATTTTTTTACATTAATGGCATTTTTAAAGAATAAAAAAGGAGAATTAAATCCCACGTGTCCCCAAATCACCACCATCTTTCCTTTTTTTAAGAAATGATTCCGCCTCCCAACCCTAGATCTTCCCCATCGTCCAGATCGACTCCGGCGGTGAAATCAGTATGTTCTGTCTCGACGTAGGCCGACGCCACAATCGTCGTCAACCGCTTCCTCGTTCGCTGTCAACGGTTCTTCCTACTGCGAACACGCCCGCCGTCTCGTGGCTGTCTGGCTGAGCATACGGCGCCGATATGGAACCTGCATTACCTTTTGCGTTTGCGTTTGGCTGTTAACATGTTATTAATGCTTTAATGACATGTTAATAATATGATTATATATTTTGAAAGTGTATTGTAAAATGTTAATAACTTTGTTGATAACGATATATACTAAATGTTGCAGATCTGAATGAAATGTCTTATGATGAAAACTTCGAAGGGCAAGATATGTTAAGAAATTTATAATGCCATTGAATTTTTTTTATAATGACGTTGAAAATATTAATAATGGACAGCGACACATTAACAATGAACACAGATTGGTGATACTACATTACTAAAAAAGGAATTAAAAGGCAGTTCTTAATTCGATCAAAATAAATGGAGATAGTCGTCAATTCTGAATCTAAAGCAAATGTTCCAACTCTAGGTCTTCCAGTACCCATGAGAACTCCTCGAAATTGTAGCTACGATTCACTATCCAGCCACAAAAAGCAACGATGTACTTAACCAATTCCTCTCCATACTCCTTGTACGTTGTTCCATCAAACTCTTGAGACAAGTTATTCATGAATTGGAATGACTTGTTCTTTAAATCACCACAGTAGACAACAAAGTGGTCGTCCATACAAAGAGGGAAAAACCTGCTATGTGAATGATTGAGCAAAACGTTAATAATGGTTATTAAAAACATTGATAAGATAACAAATGAAAATTATGAATTAATGACATAAATGTTAATAATTAATTGATATTAATGGTGTTGATAGTGGAAACATTTATACCAAAAGGTTAATAACTAATCACAAAAAAAACAATAACCTATAATAAAATGTTACTAATTGAGCATTGGTAAAAAAACATTGATAATGGCATTTGGTATGCAACGTTAAGCATACCAATGGTTGTACCAACACACATTACAAAAAGTTGATAACGGCCTTGAAAATAATAATAGTGGGCAAAGAAACGTTGATAATGACCGCAGACTGATTAATAGTACACTTTCAAAAGATTACTAATCCCCTTTCTTAATGTTGCAAACAATCGACTATAAAAAAGTTAATAACGCAAAACAACATAATTAAAAACGAATCCAATAACCTTAATAACAACAAAAACAATTAACAAATAACGGCAAAATCCTAGAACCCATGCATAGAAACCTCAAACCCATGCAATGAACAAAAATCCTGAACATTAAAAACAAAAACGAGCGAGAGAACTACCAGAAGCGACGCCGGGAGCGACGGGCGAAAGGGGGTAACGACGGACCTATGTGAGCGATGGACTTGTCTAACGGCGGAAACGGAAGCTGGGTTCGACTTTGGTGGAAACGGAAGCTGGGTTTGTGTTTCGGGAGAATTGGAAACCGAAACTTACGGCGGAGACCGCTGTCGGGAACAAAAGGGACGCCAGAGAACGCAACCAAAGGGACGGTCGGGGCACACAGATGGACAAAGAGACAAAGAAACAGTTTGGTTGGGAGGAAGAAAAAAAGGGAGAATGTGAGTGTATGGTTAAATATTTGCGCTTTAAATTATTTATAATTCCCTAAATACCCTTAACAACTAATTAACTAATAACTCTTCTCTAACTACCTAAATTTGCAGCAGGCAATTACAACACTTTAAGATCCTCCTTAAAAAAATGGGTTTAAGGACATGAACTTAGTCCATATGAACCTTGCTATTTTAATTTCGTTTGTTCATTGAGTTTTGAATTTTTCATAATATTCAAATCCCCATATCTATTACTAACCATTATGTAACTCTATTCTAACTATAGCTAAAATTGAATTTTGAATTTTTCATAATATTCAAATCCCCATATCTATTACTAACCATTATGTAACTCTATTCTAACTATCGCTAATATTGTGATGTTAGTACATAGATGTGACATTTCTCAATCCAATCCACCAATCCAATTCACCAACTCTTTAAAAATATCCACCTAATCCAATTTGATTGGTGGATTCATGGATTGATCCATGGATCCAAATGACAAATTACGATTTGGCACCTATAATTTTTTATATTTTACATTTTGGTACCCAAAATTTAATTTTTTATACGAAAAATATAATTGGAAAATTACGTTTTGGTACCTAAAAATTTTCATTATGATATTTTAGTACCTAAACTTTTCACATTTTACATATTGGTCATTGGTTGAGGATGTCATTTGGATTCTTGGATAATCCATCAATCCATGAATCCACCAATCCAATCCACCAATCCATGGATCAATCCATTTGCCACCTCTATTAGTACATATTATTATGACTTTAATACTTAATACTATGGATTTTTTTTTTTTTTGGGTAGATTAATACTTTGGAATATCGATACTATACTACTTTTTCTTTCTTCTAATTTAGTAATTTTGGCTATACAGGTATGGAAGGGACAAGGTTGAGTTGACGAGAGAACGATGAGGGCATAATGCCACTTTGCATATATATGTGGTGGTCTGGTGGATGGACGGAGGGCATGAGATTACGCGTTCAGCATTTCTATGATTACCATTTAACTTTGATTAACATCCAACATTACTATATTGATTAATCTACCTAATTATACACATAAATATCAGCTCCAACTTCAAATCTCGCCTCTTTTTCTTGATCTCAAATAAAAATCATCAACCTGCACCACTCCTCCCCACTGATTTAGATCAATAAAATGAGAATGACATTTGGATCGCCGGTCGGTGATAGTTAACTAAGCTTCATCAAATTAAATAAAAATCAATAAAATAAATTAATTGATATCGTATATTTTAGGGTTATAAGTCACATTTCAACTCCCCCTTTTGTCTTTCTATGACTACTTTCTAGGGTGGAAAATGGTACGGTATCGTTATCCCAATACCAAATACCGAAATTTTGAATATCGAATTACATCCTAAATTCAATCTCAATCGCAATCCCTAAATAATTTCGGTATCCCAATCTCAATCCCTAAATATTTCGGTATCCCAATCGGTACTTAGGTATCCCAATCGGTATTATCGAATAAGAAGACTAATACTAGTGTTTGTTTTTTGGAGTTATGAAAATAACAATAGATTGGTGGTTGAGGGTCGTGTAGTAGTGAATGAGAGTGTTTAGTTGAGAGCATATAATGCACATTAGCTTATATTTTGATATTGTTCGGTATTTTGATATATACCGATTCCAATCCCGTGATAACAAATCAACCACTTCAAAACTCGGCGGTAACGGGAGTTGGTTTTGTCTCGTGAAACCGTATTGGAGACCGTTTCGGAAAACTCAACAGTAAAGTATTTTGTGACAAAATTGTGGTTCAACTATAGTTAAATTGTTAATATCGTTAAATATTACTTACCTGCTTAACTAACAATACTGATATTTTATGGTTGAACCGCCTATAAAGTTCGATTTTATGGACCAACTCACCCTCCGTGAGACGTGCATGAAAATACACAAAGGGTGGCGACCTGACGTTCGTCGTTTCGTTCCCACCAAATCAAAAACGTCCCAAGCGACGCCCAAACGTAATGTGGTATATATTTCCTGAAAGTCCAAACAAGCCGGTGATGGAAAAGGCCAAAAGGGAAACGACTCCATCGCTTGCTGGCTAGTGGCTACCGATTCTTTCTTGTAAACGATGGAAGCAGATGAATTAATTTACAGGAATCTGATGGCAACTTAACTAAGGCCCTGTTTACTTTCATTTCTGTTTTCTGTTTTTGAGAAAACAGATGTTGAAAACAGGTGAAAACAACATTTTGTCGTTTCCGAAAACAGCAGGAAGTTGCCATTTTCTGTTTTCATAGTTGGAAACGAATAGAAAACAGAATGAAAAGTAAACAAGTTTTCTCGTTTTGGTTGCCAAATTTATGACATGAAAACAGAAAACAGGAAACGAAAATGGAAGTGAACAGGGCCTAAATTGCTCAGTTTTAATTTTCCCGCTTCCGAGACAGCCAAGCGGCCGTTTTAATTTTTAATTAGCAGTTTATTATTAGAAAGACACGCAGAGATACCAGAGGAAAATGACGATAGTTTGCTATATGTCGAGGATAAAGCCCTTTCCCCGCCCACTATTTTGTTTTATATCCTCGTCATGCTCTATCCACAAATACAAAAAAATTAGCTTTACAAAAAATATCCTTTTTTTCATCATAAAGTAGTTTGTCGGCAACTAAAATGGAAGAAAAAAATCTGTAGTTAATGCCATAAACTAATTAATTTTAATAATTTGAGTTCTTACAAAATGATATCATGTATGAATTTTATACCATTTTCTTACATGTTCTTTTATATTAGCTATATCATGATCAACTCAGATGTTATCTAATAAATCATACGAGCTCAATAATTCGAATTTTCAACTACAGAAATGATAAAATCGATATGTTTTTCTTCACAGGAGGAAGAAGAAAGAAAGCCTTATTGACATGGTCTAGATATTTAGCTTGGGTCAAGGCACGGATTTTCACCCCGCTAACCATATGGGCTACGATGGGTGTTTAGTCTTCAAAAAAGTCCATCTCGATGGGGTAGAAGTAGAATAGAACACAGTTAAATTACGAGATTATACATGACTAAGTTGAGTGAATTTTACAAATATATACGACTGCACAGAGTAAATATTTTTGCTACAAATAAATATTGCATAGTGTTTTGTGGATCATTCCTTCAAAAGATTCCGTGGGGCTGCTCATCCTTAAGTTCATAAGCTGACTTAATGGGATGATTGACTTGTTTTAGGATTAATGCGGCATTCCCTTTGCCGGCCGGCTAGAGTAGTTAATAACCAACTAATCGGGATTACATTGTTTAGCTAATCACCCAAAACTATATATAAAACAGAAATGATACAAGTTGCCGGAGCATGACTTATCTACAACAAATGTACCTTATTAACAACACGGTACACTTCAATCATGGAATGTGTCATAGCTAATTAATTAGCACACCATGAAATGTCCTTTTCCTCTTTGTCAAGACAGCCAAAGTAGCTATAATAATTTATAACCATGTACTAATTATTAAAACCCAATTAGTTTTCTTCTTTTTTAAATCCGTATTTCTGGATCCTTATAAATTAGCATTATACTACTTGTTTGTTAGTTTGTTGACAATTGGCATCGTGCATGGCTGATGTATTATATTTATTTATTTGTATTGCTTACTTTCAGGGACAAGTTAGGGTGATTACTATTTTGTAGTAATCACCATGGTTACTAAGGGTAAATTGGGTATGAAAAATAAATTATATTAATTAATTTTTTTAATAAATTATATTTTAGGTAGTTACAAGAATCTATTAATTACAATTCTATCTCTTTCTCTCACTTCCATAATCTCTAGCCAGATCCACTTTCCTTATTTTTCTCAATCTTTCTGCAAAAGAAAAAAAAAACACGAAATCACTACCAATCCATTAGACAACCACTACCACTTTGAAAAATATCAATACCATTGTAGAAATAAATCTATACCATTACACGAAAACTACCAATATAAACAATCTACCAATATAAATCTATACCATTTCACAAATTTAATCAATACCATTGCAAATTTAATCAATACCAATACATGCAAATTAATATCATTACATGATAATCAATACCAATACGACAAAAACAATACCAATGCGAAAAAAATACTACCACTACGAAAAAATCACTACCAATGCGAAAAAAATCAGATATAGAGTTTTTATTCATCCCACCTTTTTCAGCGGCCTGTGTGAGAAAGAGATTGCGAGAGGAGTGAGTGAAACCTTCAAAGCAACCATCTAGTCCTATATTCTCTAGTCAATTCCCCCAATTTTCTTATGTCTCCTAGCCTTCATTTGCAGGAGAGATAGAGGTGGATGAAGAGGCGGGGGGTTGTGGGTGGAGTGGGTTTTGCAGGAGAGGGGGAATGGGGTGGGGTGGGGTGAGGAGGAGGGATGGGGGAGGGGAGAGAGAGGGCAGGGATGAAGTTTGAGATGGGGACGGAGGCGGCAGGAGGTGGAAGTTGGAGATGGGGACGGCGGCCGGGGTTGGGATGGGGCAGAGGGAGGAGGGTTTGGATGGAGCGAGAGAGTATAATTAGGGTTATGGTAGAATATATAGAATAATCAGGTGTGATTTTATCTTTTTTTCCAAAATTGCTCTGAAACAATCTTAATCGTGAGATTAAAAAAATAGAAAAAAGCAATGCTGTTAAAACCGAGCCGAGCCGGCCGGCCGGGCCGCTAAAGCCGCCACCCGGTCATAAAACCGGCTCGGATCAGTCAATTAGCCGTTCCGGCTTTCTGGAGCGGTCGGCAAGCGGTCGAGGCGGTTAACCGCTCGAACCGCTCAAGCCGGTCACTCGGTTTTACCCCATTCAGGCCGTTATTATTAATTAAAAAAAATTGAAAAATTGAAAATGAAGGCAAAACGTCGGGGTTGGAAAAAGCCCTAGCAACATTTCACTTCATCTTCTTCGTCTTCTTCGCGAACAGAGAGGGAAGAGCAACGCCAGCCCTGCCGCCGTCGATACTTCCCGTCTTGGATTCGGCGAGTCCCGTCGAAATCGTCTGCATCCCCACTCCCCGTAGCAGCTCCCCACTCCCCACTACGCCATCGCCAGCGCTAGTCGCCGTCCCCTCCTCCCGATTCGTCGTCACTTCCCGTCCCGTTCTTGGGAGCTTCCCGTCGGCGTCGTCCCCATCCTCATAGCAACTCACCGCTCGACATCGTCATCGTCTGTCTCACCTACTCCAGCGCGTCTCCCCGTCTCCAACGCATCTCCCCTGCTCCGGCCGTCTCTCCTCCGCACCATCTCCCACCGGCGGTCTCTACTCTGCAGCTCCCACCGGCCGTCTCTACTCCAGCGAATCTCCCACCGGCAGTCTCACCTCCGCATCATCTCCCACCGGTACCTGCTTTGCTCGACACAAGGTGAATTAATTGACTAATTGTGCGGCTGCTTCCAATGATTCATATTATTAGTTTAACATTGAACCAGGAAGTCATTGATTCAATTGACATTTTATTTTAATGTTTGATTTGGTAGAGAATCAACCTACTACTTCCACTGATTCAATTAATCTTTTGTAGATGAGTACTCCAAATTCAAATAGTGGTACTCAATCAACAACACCAAGCTCTATTGCTTCTATTTTGGAACAATGTGGTGGTTTGGAATTGAATTTTAGATTTTCAGTACTGATGTTCTAGAATGGTTTAAGAGAGTAATTTACTTGTGGTTTACCATGATTAAGAAGTGTCTACTATTACAGATGATTGTTTATTCGGTACCGGTTCTCAAACGGTTTTTAAACGGTCTAATGCCGGCTGGACCACTAATGACCGAGCCGTTCACGTTACCGGGTCATACTCCGGCTCGGCTTTGACAGCATTGGAAAAAAGTGAAAAATAGATGGTGGATACTAATGTAGCCACGGTGGCTACTAGAAATCTAGTAACCACCTTAACGCGTTCCCTTACTTTCAGCTATAAAAACAAGAATCCATATATTAGCTTTCTAAGTATGCATTAAGAGTCATTATCTAAAAAAGTATTCTTTAGGGAATAATGATCATTTAAGCGTATCAATTAAAGAACATGGAAGGTAAGTAGGAATTCATCTAGCCATATCCCTCGTAGAAGAATGCTCTTAGACATTCTTTAATAGACATAAAAAGTGGTGCACATTTATACACTAATTTCTAATAA